CACCCAGGACCCGGGCTTCCCTCGCAGCCCCGGCTTTGTCCAGAAGGTCGTCCGGAAGGATGTCCGGAAGGATGTCTGGTCTAACTAGCATATTATGCTGTTATTATTATAGATAATTTTTTACCATGTTTCATTTCTCTGTTACTAATCATCATATCTTTTTTGAAAAATTGATATGAAATCTACATCATGTAAAACTAACCATTTCAAAGTGGACAGTTCAGTGGCATCTAACACATTCACAATGCTGTACAAATTCTCCCTCTATCTAGCGCCAAACCATTTTTATCTCCCTGAAAGGAAACCCGTGCTCACTAGCAGTCACTCCCATTCCCCCAGCCCCAGCTACTGCCAGTCTGCTTTCTGCCTCTGGATTTGCCTGTTCAGGACATGAAGCTATGTCCAGGTCCTTTCTCCTTGCTGGTCACCCTTCTCTGGGCCCAGCACATGCCCTGTGTGCACGTTTTGACCCTCCCTAGTGTTAGCTAATCCACCCAGGGGCCTCCAGAGGCACGGGATTTCAGGAATAAGTCGCTGAGTGGTTGCCTTCCTTTCACTGACATGGAACCTTTGGTTTGTCCTGGCCACCCAGCTCCTCAAGGACATAGTTGGGCCACTTGTGCAGGGCCAGGGTGACATGGCATGGGAGCTCAGGGAGAGTGGGAGGGACCCTGCTCCGCCTGCTCTGTCACTCAATGTTTGCCCTTGGTCTTTTGTTAGACACCCTCTGTGTGTTTGCATCTGGGGGAACAGTAACAAAGGCATCCAGCTCGTAGGGTTGACAGAGAAGTGAGGTGCTGTTTACCCCTTAAGGTTTTGATGACGATGATTAATAATTGTTAACTGTTAATGACCAGCCAGCACTTTATGTCGATTACCTCATTTGGTCTACACAACCGCCTTCCCCATTTTACAGATGAGGAAGCTGAGGCACAGAGAAGTTAAAGCACTTTCCAAGGTCACAGATCCAAAAAGTGGATTCGGGGTTCCAACCCTGCTCCTAACTCCCCCACGAGCCCCTGCGCCCCATGGCCTCCAGCAGGCCATACATGAGGCTCCTGTGAGCGCCTGCACTTCTTTTTTATTTATTTATTTTTAAATATATTTTATTGATTTTTTACAGAGAGGAAGGAAGGAGAGGGATAGAGAGTTAGAAACATCGAGAGAGAAACATCAATCAGCTGCCTCCTGCACACTCCCTACTGGGGATGTGCCCACAACCAAGGTACATGCCCTTGACCGGAATCGAACCTGGGACCCTTCAGTCCGCAGGCCGATGCTCTATCCACTGAGCCAAACTGGTTAGGGCGGCACTTCTTTTTTTAAATTGTGGCAAAATATACACAACATGAAGTCTACCATTTTCACCATTTTCAAGTGTACAGTTCAGTGGCATTGAGCACATACACATTGTTGTGCAACCGTCACCACCACCATCTCCAGAACGTTCCCATCTTCCCAAACTGAAATTCTGTCCCCACTAAACACCCCCCCCACACACACACACCCCAAGTTCCTGGCATGACCCTTCTACTTCCGTCTATGAATCTGACTCCCCTAGGGCCTCGTGTAAATGGGTTCATGGAGTATTTGTCGTTTTGTGACTGGCTTATCTCCCAGCATAATGTCCTCAGGTCCGTCCCTGCTGTAGCCTGTGTCAGGTTCCTTCTTTCTAAGGCTGAGTCATACTCCACTGTATGGACCCACCTTTATTTGTCCATCATGCCTTTGCTCTCTAACTTTCACTCCATCCTTATCTCCAAGTCCAGCCTCCTTTGAGGGGAAGCAGTGGTGTGGGGGCAGGGTGGTTGGTCGCCTTCCTTTGCAGGGGATCCTCGGTTTGGGAGGGGCTGCCATCCTTAGCACCCAAGAGTCGTCTTGGGAGGTTCCAGTGGGGTGGCCATAGGGTGGCCATATTCAGCAAAATAACCTATGGGCTGCTAGTTAAATTTGAATTTCAGATCATGGGCCTGATCTCATAGATATGACCCATGCAGTGTGCCCTAGAAAAGTGTGTGTTGTGCATGTGAAATGCAGGTTTAACTGGGCGTCCTGCGTTTTATCTGGCAGCCCCACCCCCAGCTCACAAGTAGAAGGGGCAGTAAGGCAGGAATGAGCTTGGGAGGTGAGAGTCCTTGCAATGGCAGCCCGTTGCCAGCTTGAGGGGCTGCGGAAAGGCCACTGTCCAGGCAGCAGTCTGGCCTTGTTACGGGCCACTCCCCACAGGCCACCTCACGCCCAGGCAGGGGAGAAGCCACCGGGTCGCAGAGCCTTCCTTGTAACCCCGACCGAGGCAAGCCTTGGCGTCTCCGCCCAGCACGGCCACGCTGGGATGCTGAGTGACACAGTCAGCCACTGCCTTTGCCTGGCCCTCCCAACTGTCTGCTGCTGGCAGCCAGTTGGCTGATCCTGGAGAGGTGGTGCAGTGGGTGCTGTGGGCATGGAGGCGCACTGCCTCCTTGGGGAGAAGGTGCGCTCTGCCCAGCACGGGCCATGCCGCCTGAGGGGGAGGAGGGCAGAGGGTGCCCCGAGTCAGGGGCAGCTTCCAGTGTTGATGGCAGTGGGCCTAATCCCTACCTTAGCTGCCTCACCCTGTGCCCCAACCCCACCTTTGGGGGTCCAGAAGTCCAACCCCCTCACCTCAGGGTGGGATGAATTCTGTTCAGCCCCCCACGCCATCAGGCTGAGGGGGGTGTCCAGCTAAGACCATCCCCCCTGCCCTCCCTCCCTCCTGTGCCCCCTCCGCCTACAAATCGTGTGCACAAGGATGTGGTCTCAGGCTCTGCTCCTAGAAAACACCTGGGGCGGGGTCACCTGAAATGGACAGGCTGCTCCTGCTGGAGCAGAGGGCTCGGGCTCCTGGGGCCTTGGCCCATTCTGGGCTATTTGCACATCCTCCTCCGAGGGCTGGGTTTGTGTCGTGTGAAGAATGAGGTGTCTAGAACGCAAGGCCCATTCCCCCTGGGGAGCTTGTAATCCGGTTGAGCAGGGAAGATGCAGTCAGCAAACGCAGAAGAACCCAGGCCCTCTCCTGAGTCCCCCGTGGAGTGCTGGATGCAGGCCCGATGCTGCGGCTGCTCGGCGGGGAGCACTGTGGGCTGGAGTGGTCACCGAGCTGTTATTGAGAAGGGGTGCAAGCTGGGCTGGGCTGGGTGTGATTTGAATGGCCGGGGTGGGGACTTTGAGTAAGGACAGGCTGTGTGGACGAGGTCTCAGAGACAGAGAAGCCCATGTGTGGTCAGGACCAGTTCTGACTTGGGGGTGATGGCCGTGGAGTGGTGACAAATCAGTGACGGATCATTTGGGACCACGTGTTCGGATCCCACACTTGGTTTGGATTTTACCTCCAATGCAGGACAGGTACATAAAGGAGGTGGCCTAGGTGGGAGATAGCAGGAGGTAGAGGGGAGTGGGGCAAACTGGATGGGGTGTGCCTATCTAGATGGGGCAACTGCTGCTGCACTCAAGTCCATTTTACTGTCTGGAAGTGAAGACCCAGGGTGGCTAGATCTTGTACTTTTTAGGAGAAACAAGAGATCTGAACTTTCATGTGAAATCTCTTTAATTTGGAATGTTGGCAGTCAATTCTAGTTTTTTATAAAAATGCTGTATGGGACAAATGAAGCCTGTATATTGGCAAGTTTTAGTCTCTGAGCCTCTGATTTGCAGTCTCTAAGCCTCTGCTATAGTAAGTTAGAAGAGTAATGGGACAAGAACCCTCCCCCTCTCCCCCCCCCCCCGCATTCTCACCCAAAGCCCTTACCAGGTAGGTAGAATGTCCTGCTGAGTCATTTAATTCTCACAACGACCCATAATATGAGGAATTTTAGACTCCTGTTATAGATAAGGAAACGGGGGGTCAGAGAGGTCCAGAAACTCGCCTAAAGTCACACAGCCGTATGTAGAACAAGAATACAAGCTCAGTTTTCCTGATTTTTTTCTTTTTCTTTTATTATGGTAAGATACAGATAACAAAAAACATGCCATTTTAATCACAGTTCAGTGGCATTAATTACATTCACAGTGTTATGCAACCATCACCTCTAGTTTCAAAACTTTTACATCACCTCAAACAGAAACTCTGTTTCCATTAAACAACTCCCCATTTCTCTCTCCCACCAGCCCCTGGCAATTTCCATTCTGTTTTCTGTTTTTATGAATCTAACTATTCTAAATGCTTCATGTAAATATAATAGTACAGTTTTTGGCCTTTTGTAACTGGCTTATTTCACTCAGCATAATGTCTTCAAGGTTCATCCATGTGATAGCATGGGCCAGAATTTTCCCTTTTTAGGGCTGAATAATATTCCACGTATGGCTAGATGGCACTTTGTTAATTCACTCATGCTTCAATGGACACTTGGGTTGTTTCCACCTGTTGGCTGTTGTGAATAGTGCTGCTGTGAATGTGACAAAGATCTCTTCAAGTCCCTCCTTTTGATTCTTTTGGGGATATCAGGCCTGCCAATTTCAAGCCGTAAGGTCTTGAAGCACTAAAGTCCCCGTGCAGTTCAAGGTGTCCCCACCGAGTGCTCTTCCGAACTCCTCTTGGAAACCTCTGGCCGTGGGGAAGTGAGCTTCGTCAGCACTGTTTGCAGCCCAGGTCTGTGTCCCTGAAGCTGCCGTCACCAGGATGTGCCTCTGCTTTCTTCTTCACTGTGTCCCTGCGGTCTTTTCTGAGGGGCCCTTCGGCCCAGGTCTAGGTGGAGCGCTCCAGTTTACTCTTGACTCTGTGCTCCTGACTGTGTATCACAGACTCCTGGCCTCCCTCCTCCCTCCCCAACTTCTAAGGGAGAGAACAAAATGCAACTGTGGGAAGCAGGATAGAAGGGTCTTTAAAAATAACCATAAGTGATATAAGTTGTAAAAATGCACCACAGTCTGTAAACCTCACTGAGTTGTCCCAAGATAGGAGGACCATCAGATCTCTGTCCACCATGTAAGGTGCCCGTCCTCCATCACTGTCTTGGGAGCTCACCCTTTCTCCTTTGTCTCCACAGGGACCTACCAGGGCCAGTGGGTCGGTGGCATGCGCCAAGGCTATGGTGTGCGGCAGAGTGTCCCCTACGGCATGGCGGCCGTCATCCGCTCGCCCCTGAGGACGTCCATCAACTCTCTGCGCAGTGAGCACACCAATGGCGCCGCGCTGCACCCGGACGCCTCCCCAGCGGTGGCCGGCTCCCCAGCCGTGTCCCGAGGGGGCTTCGTGCTCGTGGCCCACAGCGACTCTGAGATCCTCAAGAGCAAGAAGAAGGGGCTGTTCCGGCGCTCGCTGCTGAGCGGGCTGAAGCTGCGCAAGTCCGAGTCCAAGAGCAGCCTGGCCAGCCAGCGCAGCAAGCAGAGCTCGTTCCGCAGCGAGGCGGGCATGAGCACCGTCAGCTCCACGGCCAGCGACATCCACTCCACCATCAGCCTGGGCGAGGGCGAGGCCGAGCTGTCGGTCATCGAGGACGACATCGACGCCACCACCACCGAGACCTACGTGGGCGAATGGAAGAATGACAAGCGGGCAGGCTTCGGCGTGAGCCAGCGCTCTGACGGGCTCAAGTACGAGGGCGAGTGGGCCAGCAACCGGCGGCACGGCTACGGCTGCATGACCTTCCCCGACGGCACCAAAGAGGAGGGCAAGTACAAGCAGAACATCCTCGTGAGCGGCAAGCGCAAGAACCTCATCCCGCTGCGTGCCAGCAAGATCCGGGAGAAGGTGGACCGGGCTGTGGAAGCGGCTGAGCGGGCTGCCACCATTGCCAAGCAGAAGGCGGAGATTGCAGCCTCCAGGTAGGAGGGTGAGGGGGTGGCATGGGCAGCAGGGTCGTTCTGAGTTGTCAGCTGGGCCTGGTCTGACCAATCATGCTGCCCGGTTAGAAGCCTACACTGACGTTTCTCAAACTATGCCCCTGGGAACCCTGGGGTTCCTCAGAGGTTCTCAGAGGTGAGGCAAGGAAATGGTTGATCTGAGAGGTTCTCGGTCATATTGCCCCTCCTTAAATAGAGCAGTATCTCTTTGGTCTATTTTATATGCTGGTGTTTAATGTAAAATGTTGATGGATAAAGAAGGTGGGCCATTCTGCTGGTAAGATGCATAGGATGGTGCCGGCTAAGAGAAAGGTGCAATGCCACCGTGGCCGCGTTCCCAGCTGGGTTTGGAGTGCCCAGCATTGCTGGGACGTGGGAGGAGGGTGAAAGCTGCCCTGGCCATCTGGCCTCCAGCCCAGATTGTCCCTGGGCCCTGGGAGACAGCACCAACTGGACAGATCAGCTGTAGGCGCCAGGCGAGACTTGGTGCTGCGGGCCAGCAGCTGTTCTGAATGGGGTGCAGGACTTTGAGTTTGGGGTCGGCAGGGCTGCTGGACCCTAAGCAGAAGGTCTGGAGTTGATGTGGCTGGGCACCATGTTGGATTTTGAGGTGTCTTTGGTATTAGTGCAGGGGTGGGGGCTTCAGTGCTGGAAGAGTGGGTGCCCAGGGAGGGTCTCCTTGGGAGCTGCAGAGGTAAGCGTGTAAGCCCAGGTGTGGTCCCGGTGAGGCTGTGGGAGGCTGTGGGCAGCAGGAACATGGCAGGTGCCTGCCGCAGGTTGAAGGAAGCTGCCCTGTTGAAACCCAAGGCCCCAGGTTGCCACACTCCTGGCTTCTAAAGGAACAATCCCTGACGGAGTTAGCCAGGAGCTTTCACCATCTATTTGTTTTCCTGGGTCAGGGCAGGGCCCTCGGGTGCCCTGAGAGTCCTGGGCGTTGGGACAAGGGCCTGGGGGCTGCTTTCGGTCCCTCAGGGTGCCCAGACAGGCTTCTCGGAGCAGCGTCTTTCTGGATGATTCTGTATTCCCAGCCAGGGACAGCCTAGAGTTACTCCAGGAAAGTTCCTGGCTCAGGATGCTCAGACCTTCCCAACCTCATCACTTAATTAAAATTTTAGCTCATTTGGTTGTGGTTTTCAGGGACCTTTGATCCACAGTGGAAGAACAAAAATGTGGTTGGCAGGATATCTGCCACTCACAGCATCTGAGGCTTCAGAGGGAAATGAAATCCATTCCAAAAGGCCGAAAGGAAAATGGCATTACTCCCTGAACACCGAGGCCAGAATTGCTCTGCGCACCCCTCTACTCCCCCAGACATGTTCAGGCAGCAGAAATAAATAGGAGCCGCATTTATGACGACTCACCTGGTATTTTAGGATCAGATTAGGTTCAGTTGTTATTTTTTCCATTGTAAGGGTAATACTTGCCCCATATAGGAAAATTGGAAAATAGAATGGAAAAGGAGAAAAACGACATCAGGTCTGGTCTGCTATGTCACTAGAGACTCTTGTTAGCATTTTGCCCTATTTCTTTCCTTTCGGTGTTTATCTTTTTGTATTATGTTTTGCTGACCTCAGTGGACAAGAAGCAGTTGCAGGGCAGGCCCCAGCATCGTCAAAGATTTGGGGTGCTCGTGACCGCTCCCGTCTGGCTGCAGGTTAGTTCGAGGCCAAGGGCCTGGGAGGCAGGAACGCAGCATTCAGTGGACACGGAACTGGTTTAATTTTAGCGTCTGATGACCAGGCAAACGTCTTAGGACTGAGGAGTTTTCTGACAAATCCCCAAGAAATGGGGGGTGCTGGTTCCATTAAGGAAACGAGGTGGTGGTGTGGGCAGAGCTCAGAGCCAGCACACGCAGGGAGCTCCACCCCGGCAGGTTTCAGTGTTTCTGAGCCTTAGTTTCCTCGTCTGTGAAATAGGAGTAATGCTGCCTGCCTGCCTGCCTGCCGTGAAGCCCTGGGAACTGAAGTGAGGACAGCTTCGTCCTGGGCTGGGGCCGCCCGCTCCCCCGGGGAGGGAAGAGTGTGGGTTTCATGAGGGCTGATCGATGAGCAGCAGGATCCAGGAGAGGGCCAGGGTGCTGGGCCAGGAGGGCAAGGGGGGGTACAAAGAAGTTGGGGCAGCTCAGGACCGTGGGGCATTGGCCGCCAGCCTTGGTGCTCCCACGTTGCCTGGGGAGGCCTCTGCCGGTGTGTTCTTGATGTGGGGAGGACTGAGCGAGGGAGGGGAGAGGATTAAGTCTGGTCAAGGTGTGACTAGTGCCTGGGCAGGTGGTTGGGGAAGAGTAAAGTGGGTTCCTGGTTGCATGTATCTCTACATTTGGGGCTTTGGAGCCCCACCCCATTCTGAGAACCAGCCTGGCTGACTGAAGTGTCCCACTCTGTACACACAGATTTACACACCCCACACAAACGCGCTCACGCACTCATAACACACTCACACCACTCACATCCATTCATATCCACACAATTCAGACACGCACATGCACATTCAGACACACACAGGCATGGGCACTGAGGGAGGGCTGATGCAGAGCCGGGACCTGTGCAGTGCTGGGGGGGGGGGCGGGACGCAGCCCCCTTGTCCCCTCCATCTCCTCCTAAGTGGGTCTCCCAGATCATGGGAACAGAGTCGCAGAGTCTGGCATTTAAAACCTGTCTGAGAGGGGGGCCAACCTCAGGTGGTGTCTGGAGCCGTCAAAGCAGTGTCCAGCCTGGGCCATCGCTGCTGAGTTACCTGGGGAAGAGGCTTGCCCTCTCTGCATGATTTCCCATCGAAGGACGGGAGGAGCAACGCACACAGCCCTCAGCTTGTGTGGGGCCCGGTGTGCTCGTCTGACCCCCTGACCCTCTCCTGAGCCATGCCAAGCCCTCCCCCCTCCAGCTCCCGGCTTTGCAGGGAAGTGGGCATGTCTGCACATCTACACGTGTGACCTTGTCGTGCTGGCTCCTGGTGCCCAGGGTTGCTCCTTGGAGGCCGGAAGTGGCAAGGTCCTTGGTTACCACGATGGGCATCTGAGCCTCGTTCCAGGCTGTGGGTGGAGCTTCTTGTCCTGTATTTTTTCAATGGGCTTAGATTTGGAAAAAAGGAGGGAACAGGCTGCGTCCTTAAGAACAAAGCAGCAGGTGGACGGCAGGGTCAGTGCCCCCCAGACCCCAAGGCCCACCCTCCAGTGGAGGGTGAAAGTGGCACGGCGGCCCCAGGGGGCTGCGGAGTGGCTGGCCCCGGGTGGACTCCGGTCACTGTCACAGCCAAAGAAAGAGACCGCCAGGCAACAAGGGAGCTATGGCCGGCTGGGCGTGGGTTACTGAGCTGAATCAGAAACACGGGTTGGTGTGTCCTCCTCAGAGCGCCGGGGGCAGCTGCTGCTAGGAGGGGGACACAGGCTTCCTTGTTAGATGGGGGTCTCACCGAGTTTGAGTTCTGAGAGGTGGTCCCATTCTCTGCATTTCAGAGAGGCCCACAGTGGCTAAGGGCCGGGGACTGGCCGCACAGCTAAGGGGGAGCTGGGCTTCCTCCGGGACAGGGTCTGCAGCAGGTTCCCAGGCCCTCGCCGCCCCTGCCGCTTGTGTGCTGAACTGCCTGTGGTGCTCAGACACATGCTGGCCGCCCTGAGATGCTGAGCTCCCGGGCTGCAGAGCCCTTCACATCTCTAGGAGATTCTCAGGTGAGCTCAGCACCCTCGGAAGGTGTGTAAGATGCAAATGGCTGGGCCCTACCTCCAGAGCTTCTGATTCGGCAGGTGGGTGCCTAAGAACCTGCATTCCTGAGGAGCCCCCAGGATGCTGCCCCGAGAACCATCGCTCTCCTCTCTCACAGGAGGCCACAGCGGAGAGGAGACGCCCACAGAAGTGCCTGCGACGAGGCAGAAGGTGGAGGGTGCCCTGACAGGGTCTTCAGTGTGAGGCGAGGGTGAGGGACAGGAGAGCCAGGCGGGTTGATTGGATGAGTTGAGATCAGAGCAGAAGGCGCCGCCGTCCTTCACCTGTGACTTCCTCCTGTAGGGTCCTCTTCCCCAAATTGTGAACCCCCATCAGAGGCGGGCTGTGTTGTACTCCATTCTTCCCTGCCACCTAGTCAAGTGGGAAACTCAGGGGCACTCTCAACTAACTGCTGTAAGCGCCTGTATTCGGATGGACCACAGATAAAGACCTCTCTTGCCTTCATACACTCGGGACACTTTTATGAAGTATCTTCTACCTAAATAGCAAATATGTCACCTTTGCACCTGCTGCTTCTCACCCTTTGCCTCGCCCATGGCAGACATAACTAGTCAATCACAGTGCTCCTAGCTGCTGGCCTGGAAGATGAAACCTAATGGCCATCACCTGTTGCTCAGCAGAGGTCCTGGTCTAGCCTGTGGTCTGGTTGGGAATCAAAATCTAAACTAGAGATGAAAGAGGCATAGAGAACCCCTAGTGCAGAGGTTGTCACACTTGACCTTTTAGTCACAGAGCCCTTTGTCATGCAAACCCTTACAGCTCCCCAAGGTATAAAGAAGATGAAGGTGCTGTTCAGAGTCAAGCTGGGGGCCAGTCAGGGCAGACTGTGGCCTGTTTGCCTCTCCTTCCTACCTCTGTGTGGTGGCCCCAGGACATTCAGCAGTGTCCTGGGTTGAAGGTTCATGCTTGAGCAGGTGTCTGACACTGCACCCAGTGCCGAGGGAGAGAGTGCTGGGATCGGCTAGCTATGCTAGCTATATCTGCCCCCAGCCGGGCAGGGAGGGTTCTGGCTGCTGTTAAACCCATGACCTCCTGGACCCTACAGACCCCGGGAGAGTTACATGGGAACCTGGTGGTGTTCCTTTTGCTGGGACCCCTCTCTCTGCCTCCTCTGTGATTTATCTCAAACGTTACTGTGAGGAGATGTCGGAGGGTTTTACAAAGTGGTGAAGAGCTGAGAGGAGGAGGTGTTGAACTCCCCAGGCCAGGGATTCACTGTTGAGTCACTGGAGCCTGGGACTGTGTGTGGCTTAACAGCATAGC